GGCGGCAGCCCGGGGGCACTAAATGCGCTGAGGAAAGTAAGGCTAGCGCGCCCGTGTCGAAAACAATAATATCTGTGATACTGCTGTAAGCTCCTTACGTATTAGAAGTACTGTTTTGACAGTAATAGAACATTGAAAGTGCGAATTGCGTTGGGGAAGTGGGTGCGGGGGCGGGGGCAAGGACAAGTCTGGATCCTGGCTTAATTATACTTAAATGCGACGTCTACTTCAAATTACTTACGTCCACTAACGCTGTCGGGTTAGGATTGTGGCAGGTGCAGTATTCCGCCAGAGATGGGGCCGCCATGGCAATTCAGGCACTCAATAACTTAATCACAATAACTCGGGCGATCTCCGCGATGTCCGTACGAGTGCGAATTGTTTCGGAGGTGGTTCGGCGTCGCTCGGCGCCCGGCGACGAGCGCATCAGGCCCCCGCGCGGCCGCGCGTCATTCGAAAGCTCCTGGAGGCTGTACGTCCAACACCGTTTTCAGGCGTACAGGATAAGCGTGGAAGGGGTGGGCCTATACGTCAGTGTCAGGTACCTCATGAAGCCATGAAGAAGGGCGGCCCTTTCTCAAGATGAAGCACTTCCCCCATGTCACGTGACGTCATGCATGGACAGGCAGGCTCTTCCGCCCCCGACCCCCCACTCTTCCTCTAGGTGGACACCGGTCCCCTTACAACGGCAACATCGATCCCCATCCGGGGCTCCCTTCGATACCCTTCGATACGTGCCCGGAATGCGCCCAGAATGCACCGCGCGCGGCTCCGGAGCACCCTAGCCGCCATTACGGCGTCACCTTGCTCACCCTCAAGCTCTGACAGGACCCAGCGATAAGGAGATACCGATCAGCTAATGCACCCGCGCCTCTGCCAAGTCTGAATAGACTTCAGGGGACTCCGTGAATCCTCAGACTTCAGGTACATAGCGATTATAAGTGCAAATACTTTTTTCTGGCCAGCAACATACAGAGACCTCAACGCGCGGTGCAGCGCACCTGCTGTGGCACTACTAGCTCTGTTTGTGGCTCTGGTTCCACTGCTGTGTCTCCTCTCCTACTAATCTTAGAGTCCTAAAATTTACACCACCACATTGCTCTCGTTTTCCTGGTTAAAATGACACCAGAACTGGATTTTTTAATTCATTTTTCACCAACTCCAACCCTGAGCGACCAACTCTCAATCTTTCTGTTCGCCCAGGGTTCGGGGCCAAACTCTTGGCTGGCCCTGGGTTTGACCTTTTGGTGTTATTGTCACCAAACATATTCTTACTTTTGCCTTGTATCATGAAGCTAAAGTCTTCAATGTCCGCTTTGCTGTAATGGTAATGGAAAACTGGATATCTGTAAGAGTAATGGCAGCAGTTTGGCTTTCCATAAGAGTTGTACTTTTATTTTATTTATGTATTTCTCATGCCAAATCTCTAAATTTCAGTGTAAAATCAAGTGTTAGTGGTTGCTGTTGTGAGCCAGCCAGCCAGCCAGCCAGCCTGGTCACATTGGCACCACTGATAAAAGTGGGCTATGAAGTAGAACCGACTTCTGAGCTCTCATTGGTCGACTGTCATTTGTTACACACCCTGTACATCCAGGGTACAGATAATAAATCATCTTGGTGTACCCTGACAAAAATGAGGTGTCAACGAAGTGTAAGCGAAGCGGTGACGAGCTGTTTACCCATAACGAAGTGTCATCGAAGTGTATTCGAGGTGTTAAAGACGTGTTCTCCTCGTTGACACTTCGTGCACACTTCGTGAACACTCAGTGAAGCGGCGAGACACACTTCATCAGCACTTCCTTAACACTTCGGCTCGCACCGCTTCGTAGACACTCCGTGCACACTTTGAGGCAGCAGTTTTGTTTTACAACTGCGCATAACAGAAAATAATACTCCTTGTAATTAGCGCCGGCATTAGGAGACAAAAAAAGAAAATTAGAAATTTTTGTTTTGATTTATTTTTAATTATTGCTGTTAGTTCTAATTTTGCTTTGGTTATTTACTACTTTAGTTTAAAAAATAATCACTGATTTTTTTCCCTAAAACACTTTGAGAATGATTTCTTAATAAGGATGCTATGTTTCAAGTTTGATACCAAATGATCTCCTCACTTTTGTCGGGGACAATTTATCGAACCTCAAACTGTTTACACCAAACATATTTCAGACATGACAAAGTATGATTAAATTGGATGGTTTGAATAACATTTCATATTTTAACTCAATGTTCTGGTATCAACATAAAGATTACATTTGCATCTACTGTTTTAAAACAGGAACTCACTCAAAAAAAATCTTTTCATGAATACCTCCTACCGTTTGAGCTATAGAGACATATTGTAGAAGACCCTTTTACTAGCTGGAAACAAAGTAAGGCTAACAGTGTATTTGTGATATGATATAGAAAAGGGAAATGCAGAACAGAAAGGCACATTTACTTTTCTAATTTTTGTAATAAAAACAAAACATATACGCTACATAACCAGAGGGCCAATCGTGTAATTAGCTTTGGACCGCTGCATGCAAAGTGGTTTGTCAAAATCAATGATTTAACTCATTAAAGACATGTATTTTGTAACAGGATTAAAATGGGTCTTCTATAGTCTTCTCAGTTACAAAATTGTATCAAAACTAGTTATAGGCACAGAAGTCCAAGGCTAAATTACAATATTAAATACACTTTATACTATACTGATAAAACATGAACAGAATATAACAAGGACATTAATCTCCAAAGCATCCAAACGGTATCTGGCATAAAAGTTTACCTTCTATAAGAATACATTGGCAAAGAATTGTTTTCGGGTCAATAATGGTTAGGAAGTCACTCGTCTCTTTCCAAGTACTGATATGAGACAGGTCTCGGGTCTCGTTCTGACATGAAACTGTCACATATTACCTGACGGCCCAAAATGTACGCTTTGTTTTGAGGGAAAAGCAGCATGTTCTCAATAACAAAGTACTTACTGCTCGTAGTATAAACTATAGAATCATCATTTTTTTTAGCATTTTTTTTGGCATAGGCCCGTGTACAATAGCGAGATCCTTTGTGTATAAACCTATTAAAATTTTGTACATTCAATTCTACTGCTATGTTATGCCTTTCAAGGCAGAGTCTCTCTTCATCTGTCAATGTACAAGCTGTCCCTTTCCCTAGTAGAACTGTGTCACCTGATCGTACAAAATTTGAGAGCTGCCGTCCCACTATACTTGCACAAAAGTCTGCACTTTTCTCAGTTGATGCTAATTTACTACAAAGTTCTGGAAGACATGAAAATGTTGTGTACTTCTTAGCAAGTTGTTTGGCAACGCAAAATGGACTTGAGAGCAACTGCAGTAGAAACCGGTTTTGGCCTTCATACAGAAAAGTATTGTGAGTAAAAAGTGGACTAAAGTTTCTTACACCTTCTACTAAATGAGTCAATAAGTGAATACAGTAATTCATACTCACATCCTTAAAGTAATGTTCATACAACACTACATATTTCATCAAAATTTCTTCAGCATACTTAAGTTGAGGAGGGGATATCGACTTTTGCAAAAGTATATGGACTGCAACACAAAGATGTGCTAAGTGTATCAAGTACTTCTTAAGTTGACCTTGCAGGCATACAAGACAGTAAAATAACAACCAGGACCTCCATTCTGATGCTTTCCAATTTTCCCTGTCTCTTAGACCTCGGGGCAACCTAGTAATACAGTGAGGGACAACTATTTTATCGATTTCCTTATCCACAAGGGCTATAACGTGATCCAGTCCAATATCTTCAGTAACATCTAAAAAATGTGTCCAATAATTTTTTTTTGTCTCACGGATCAAAAGTAATTCTGTGTGCTGTTACACACAGCCCAAGAAAACTGCATGTAAATAATCTGGGGCAAAGCCTTGACCCAGGTCAAAAAATTCTAATGTCTGCAAAATAGGTGGTGCCCATACTCCCCTAGATCTGGGGTCACTTTTATGAGAATTTTCAAGAGCAATTTTCATATCCTGATTGATAGATTCATGGGAACGTAGTAGTCCAAATTTGTCACCAGCGAAGCGTCTTCCTGAGGTCGTACGGACAGTTTTTTGTAAGCAGAATGTGCATCCATATAAACTATTGCTTGCATTCATGCGAAGCTGGAGCTGGAGAATCTGGAGAATCAACAACAGCACACAAAGGGTAAACCCTACTTGTTATCACCTTATGATCAGAATTTGTCCATTCGAAACCAGCTGATGACAATCTGTTTAACTGTTCAACAAATGGCTCTAAAAATGCATCCATATTGGGATGCGTCTTGCCTACATATAAACCAGCTATTAATACATACTTATTCCTAATACTGTACGGGAGTTCATTAATAGTAACAAGAATCGGCCACATAGTTCTGTTAACACTGTTTGATTTACCAGCTGACACTCCATCAGTGTTAAACGACAGTGAGAAATTCTTGGGCTTAGACAAAGGGCCAGAGCTATCAAATAGCTTTCGATATGCTGCACCATCAAAAATATCCCTCAATAAGGAGTCGTCTCCATTTTTTTTCCTATCAAATCTATGAGACATTAAATCCTTAGCAAATACGGGATCCCTTAATAGGTTTTTAAATTGGTCCTCTAAACTAAGAGACAAGAACAGAGTTGACTGTTTTGACACTACTTTCTTACAAGTACAGACAATATTAGGGTTCAATTGTTGTTCTACCTTCCCCAGAGATACTCCACAGTCAGGGCAATACAAGTAAGTGTCTACAGCTATGTTACCACTGCAAACAGCTTTCTCATAATAATATTTAGTTGCTTTTAATGGGTTCAAGTTAAATAGCTGGTTTGCCATTTTAAGTATGTCTACTTGTGCTGCCCATGTAAGATTGTGTCGCAAACCAAGACCTACTGTCATCAAAAATACATCACCTGCTGTCATACTTGTGCATCCACATCCACAAAGTTTTTCTTTGGGGAGACCTCCTTCTTCTGGTGGATTATTTAAACTGTTTACAGGCTCAAAGAAGGCAGGCTCAGTGTCACAGTAACTGGTAGCATTTGGCTCCTGCTCCATCTGTCAAGAACAGAGCATGTTTTAGTTTACGAGTCGCAGACACCCCGCCATTAAACTTCAAGAGTAATGCATACCTGTTCGGCATTGTGCCAATGTTCAGCATCAGATTCCAGCTGATCTGCATATTCATCACTATGCACTGCTTGTTCAATTTGTTCTAGCTGCTCGAGCTCGAAATCTGGGTTAGCATCCATTCCACAACTTTGATGGTTGATCTGCGCAGCAATCTCCCCCCTTTCTTCTAATGTTCCATGGTTGGCTTGGACCGGTCCCAACTGGTTCTTCTGAAACAATTTGTCAGAGTCAGCCTAAAAATGCTTGTCTCATTAAGTATCAAAGCACTGAAATCCTTAATTGGCATTCAGTTGTCATGACTCAGCATATATAAATTGAAATTTACACCAAAAATACTAACCTCACGCTCTCGGCGGATATGCCGGTACTT